TAGCATAGTGGCTAAAGCACTTGACTGCTAACCAGAAGGCTGGCGGTTCAAACCCACCAGCCACTCCTCGGAAGGAAGGTTGGGCAATCCTACTTCCGCAGTGATACTGCCTCGGAAACCCAAGGAGGGGTCGCTATGAGTCGGGGCCGACTCGACGGCACATAACAACAACAACATATATAGTATAATGTAATTAATATAATATTTACATTCAAGTTATTTTCTGAGAAGGTAACTGAACACCAGATTAGCAAACTGCAGTGGTCAACTTTCTTAGACCCTTAAAATTGCCATCTATAAAAATAATTTCCTTCGAGTCAATAATGTAGCTTCATGGATTGATGCACCAGATCTGGCTATGGCTGTTAAATTGCTCATAGAAAGAGCAACCAATCAAGATTGGATGCTCAGAGTTAAATGGCTTTATCATTTAGCCAAGAATATACCACAGAAGTTTGGTGAGTAGAAAAGTTTAATTTGTATATGAGGTAATTCATGTACACTTATTCTGTGTTAGTGCTTTAGCAGCTGTGTACCTTCCGATTTGCTGGTGAGTGCTGAGAGCAGACGTAGACTTCCCAGCATGCTTCAGAAAAAGCTCTATCCAAACTCAGCCCTCTCTGCAGGTACTGGACAATGAGAATGGCTGTCTGAATCAGACTTGACACAGATGTTAGAGAACCTATAAAGAAAAAAACATTGCAACCCTGATACAACTGCCCTGTGATCATCTTTAAACCTGAAAACAAAAATAGCCCCTCAAGTCTTCTTAAAACTAAGTACCAGTTTAGGCTAAGTAGTAAAAAAATGTCTGCCTTGAGCATTATGCTCTTTTAAGAACTACCCATATGGGGTCAAATTGACAAAAACAACTTGAAAAGTCAGATAGCAACCTTAGGAGACAGTGAGTTTATGTTAATGGAGGAGGAACAACTCAGAATAGGAGGGTGAGAGTGGCTGCACAACTCAAAGAATATACTCATTGTCACTGATCTGCACATGTAGAAACTGCTTAATTAGTGTGCATTTTGCTGTGTATATTCTCAGCAACAACAAAATAATAAAATTTACAAAATGAAAAAAGTCTATGAATGATTAGATTCTGCAAAATCTCTAATGAAATGGATAAATTCCACCTTCAGATCAAACCTTCCACTCAAACACAACAGATTCTGGTTTAAGAACACCTAAGTGGACTCTAGAGTCTCCACAGGGCACAATGGACTTGTGGAAACATTTTTATTACTTCTCTCCTATTCACCCTTAGGACCTCTCGTGGCAATGGTTAAGGCATTCAACTGTTAACCAAAAGGTTGGCAATTCAAACCCACCAGCTGCCCCACAGGAGAAAGGTGAGGGAGTCTGCTTCCAGGAAGATTTGCAGCATTGGAAACCCCATGAGGGAGGTTCTACTCTGTCCTATAGGGTCACTATGAGTCTGAATCAACTCACTGACAGCAGGTTTGGTTTGGTTTTGTATTCTCTTTGTCTTCAGTATACAATGAAGAAGTGACCAAATAACGCATTCACAGGTGTGTGAAACCCCTGTCACGTATCCTTGTATCTATTACTGACAGACACTGAAAGTGGCAAAATGGACATGACCTCATAATGGACCATGGCTTTGAAATCTAACAGACTTACTTTCAAATCGCACTGTCATTATTAACTCTTTGCCTTTGACCAGTAGCTCAATCTCTCTAAGCATTATCTGTAAAATGGAAATGTATGTTTTGCAGAACTGATATGAGAACTAAATAAACAACTAGAATTGTACCTAACACATAGAAGTCACTCGATAAATATCACTTTGCTTATTATAATTATTGCTCTTTCTTATATTTTGCAACATTTAAAAGTCATACCTGTCTGTTTTAAGCAACTCAAAGTTTTCTCTTTATTGTGCCTTCAAGAGACTCAACAACGGCCCTGGATATGAGGGCAAATTTCATGATTCTCACCGCCCAAAGCAGTATCCCTCAAGGAATGAGCCTCGAACTGAGGCATCAGAATTACCTTAAGGAGCTTCTTTAAAATTCTGATTCATGTACCTCACCTAGAGATCTGCTGAACTCTCTCTTAGACGGAGGAGGACATCTACATTTTCAATAGCTTTTTCTGGAAACTTCTGTTCTATGTACACTATATGTAAGAACTTCTAGACCACAGGTCAAATGGAATAACATATAAATTTCTACAGAACTGAAACTCTGTAAGACCCAGAAGTCAAGCTCCTCACCTACAACAGCTCTTCGGGTTTCTGTATGTAGAGCCAAGAGGGTGTCACACACACTGTCCCCCACCAACCCAAGGCTATGGAGCAGAACTTTCAAATCCAGATCATCCGGGATGTTCCCGTCCCCTCCTCCTGAAATGTAGATTTCAAGCCCACGATTCCTCATAGCTCGAGATATTTCTCCATGTACAGGATCCATTGAGAGAAAAAGCCTAGTAACATAGCAAAGGAAAAAAATAAATAAATAAAATCCCAGTGCAACTGATGGTGCTGCTCAGGACAACGGGTAAAGGCAAATCTTACGTGGCTCATCTTCAGGGAGTTTATAAAAGAAGATACCACGCACTCAAAGTCGGCTACCTTTCTTTGTGTTCTACCTTCTGTTTCCAAAGTACATCATTATAGCAAATCAGTTTCTCTAAACCTATTTTGCTAAGGAACTGTGTGTGTCAAGTGTACCCTTAGTGCTGTTATTCCTCTAATAGTGCAGTGCTAATCGATCATTTTAATTTACTAGAGAATAAAAACAGCCACTCCTCGGAAGGAAGATGGGGCAATCTACGTCTGTAGTAATACTGCCTCGGAAACCCAAGGAAGGGTCGCTATGAGTAGGGTCCGACTCAACTGCACGTAACAACAACAGAGAATAAAAAAGAGAGTAGTATATTATTTTGAACAATTAGCTTCATGTATTCACATCCACCTAGCTATCTGACATCTCATATTTGTATCCAAAATGGAACTGCTGACTCCTTACTGACCACAACTGCTTCTCTGCCCACCTTTTCTTTCTCACTGAATGGCACCCACATTGACCCAATTACTCAAACCAAAAACTTAGGTTTTGTCCTTACTCCCTTCTTTTTCTCATTCAGCAAGTTCAATGGCAAGTCCCACCTGTCTGACTACCCTAGCTTTAGTTATCATCATTTCTGGCCTGACAATTACTTTCAGCAAAATGTTTCTGGAAAATGTTTGTACCTGGTTCTCCTTGATTCCACCTTTCACCACTACCCCCTTTATATGCCAAAAAGCTTCCAGTAGCAATGAAGTACAAGAAATGTGTACTTGAACATCTGAAATGTGGCTAGTGCAAATGAGAAACTAAATTGTTAAATTAATTTAAATGTGAAATGCTGTATCTAAATGGCAAGTGGTTATTGTATAAACCATGCAGTTCAAGAGCAATTTTTAAAATCCCACATCAGCTCACATCACTCTCTTGTTCAAAATCTTTCTATGACTTTCCTTCACTCACAGAATGTGCTCTCTCTTCTGAAGGGCCAACCTGATCCTCAATCTGAAATATAACACCTCCCCCACACAATTACTTTCTCTATCTTTAAGACTGTTTTCATAGAACTTACCATTCTTAAATTATCTGGTTTACAAGTTTATTTCTCATCTGTTTCCCTCTCTAAAATGTAAAAAGCCCCATGGAGGCACAGACCTAGTCTCCTTTGTTTACACCTATGTCCTGGAGCCTAACAGTGCCTGGCAAATACTAGATTTTCTGAATAAACTATTTGTTAACTGAAACAATGAATGGGTGAGCATGTTCATGATGTGGTGTATGAATACAACAAATAAGAGGTCCTACTGAATGCCCACCTATAGTATCAAGGCTGTCAGATTCTGAGGAAGAAACTTAAGAGGCATAAATACCTGAAATTGGGATTTGGTGTTATTGTGGGAATGGCTCCATCTATCATTCCTCTCTCACTAACAGTGAGAACACCTCCAGGTTCAAGCAAAGCATTCAAACGATCCAGCACTGATGGGCTGCAAGAGGCAGTTCAAATGTCAATAGGCTGGCCTGCTGCACTGAGCCCACTCTCCTTGCAGGGGCCTCCCACTGTTCCTTATCCACACCTCCTTCCAGTACAAATCATTCTCCTACATGGAACTGTGATCTCTTTCCAGTGTATGCTTCTCTTCTATGGCCCCTTTACTTCTAAGGCTCACAGTCAAGAGTTTCATACACAGCAGATACATAAAATAATTGTTGAAAAAATAAATGAAAAAAAAAAAATGATAGAAGCCTCCTGGAACTATTCCTCTGTCTTCCTTTTCACCTCCCTCATGTAAAAACATTATTAAATCTATTTAAAGGTAACTGGATTTTAATTTAAAACATTCAGAATAAAGCTATGGTAAAAGAGGATCATCATCTGACATGTAGTAGCTTCCCCTATGCTAACTGCATGTGTTCTATGCCCTTTTCCTTTCTTTAGGACTAAAAGAATTGCTGCCATCACTGGTAGACATTTACTAAACACTCGCCTTGTGCCAGATCACTCCTTTCAAAAATTTCCAAAGAAGAATGATCCTTAACAAAAGGAAGATTCCAGACTGAAGTAACAGATGCTAACATAAAAAGGCCTAACTCAAAGGCTGTTTTCTTAGAAAAGTCATCTGGCCTTGCAAGCCTTCAGCTCCAGGAGAAGCTGCAGAGTATGGCCAATGATGTGTTTCTAGTTAAGAAATTAACTGGTGGATTAAAAGTACCAGAACCCCATCTCGGTTTTTACATTGACCAGCATATCCCAAATCTGCCTGGTCTACTCATGATTATGTATAAGGTTCTTACTTGCAGAAGTTAACATTGTCCATCAGAAGCCAGTCTCCAGATTTCAGGGCCCGAACCAACATGCTGTCAATCCATTCAAATGTGCCGTGGCTGTGGCCACTGACTGACTGCATGAGCTTCAACCCAAAGCTCCGGAACTCTTCCACAAGTTTGGCAAACTCTGAAAAGTTACAAGCAAGAATCATCATTCACAGTACTTAATTTCAAGCCAAAGCTACCAAAAAAATCAAAAGTTTATTAAAGGAAAGCTAGAAACTTCTGGTCCAATTTTATTTTTAAGTTGCTTATAGAGCTAAAAAAAAAGGAGTTTTATTTCTGTATAAATATTAGAATACTAGGTTTGGGGGCAGAAAATACTTCTGAAAGACTTTCTTAATTAATAGCTAGTTACTGAAGAGTTTACCCTAGGTGATGGAAAAGGTAAATAATCTTCCTGTGTTTTAGTTTCTCAAATGGCAGGAGAATGTTTATCACCTATGTCTGCATTTGTTGAGGGAGATATGGTGGGGGCAAGGCCGGTGGGGGGAAAGGTGCTATAAGCTGGTACAGCGCAATCGATGCTATAAAGCTGGGCTTCCATTATAATGAAGATATCATGTGTTTATAGTAACAACTGGTGCAATTATAAAATATAAAGCACTATTTGCCCAGTGCTTTATAGTTTATATAGCCCTTCCCTGGTAATTTTTCAATTGATCTTTTCGTTGTTAAATTGTTTTATGACACTTTTTCATTATCACAAAGTAATATATGTTGGATTCCTCCTTCAAGCTGTGAGGGAATAACAAGGATCACACTTAACGTCCTACTGTTAGCAATTAGAAAACAGCAAATGCATGAAACGATGCTTTCAGACACTGAACAACAGATTATGTTCCCTGAAGGAAGAGAAACAAAGGTGAAGCCAGATGAACATCTTGGATTTCTGGAGGCAATTCCTAGACTACAGAGCAAGGAAGAAGAATTCAAGCAGATTTCAGAGGCCTCACTGGGTTGAGGAAACAGATTAGAAATCAGTGAGGTTGAGTGAGACAGCTGGAATGAGGTACTGGAGAGGAGTGAGCTACTCAAAGAGCTCCAGAAACCTGCATTAATAGTCCCTGGAGTCTATGGCCAAATAGCAATCTGCATATGGACATAAAGGTTGAAGTTCCACAAGGATGAGCAAAACAAAAACTTCCAAAGAAGAGCAATTCCTGGAGCTTACGGAGGGCTGGGACCCACTCCAGTTCCCAATAGCCAGAGTGAAGAAAGCAAGCTTTGGAAGTGAAGGATGATAATCATTGTGGCAGACTCAACCTGTGTAATCCCCACCCCCCAGGAGCATACTTATCTCTACCTGGAAGGCTGCACTGGACTATGCTAACTGCATATGATACAGAACAGTACAGCTCTTCCACCTTCTATACAAAATGAATAAACAGCTAACTGATCAATTCAGACTCCTACTATAAGGTTTCAAATACTCTCAATTTCTTTAAAAATTACTTTAAAAAGCAAAAACAAGCCAACCAAAAATAAAAGTTTTACACACAAGTGACTTAATACTGTATACACACATAATGAACCATAAAGCTCAGTACACAGTATCATTCCTGTTTGCCTCTTTAGGATCACCAATTCTGAGTACTTTACCTCTGGTTCACTTTACTTTCTAAACCAGAGATTTCTAAGTTGTGATTAATAATTATTAATCTTTTAAAATATGGGCATTCCACTTATAAATGCATTACCTGCAAAGGGACACTATCTGACAAGAGTCTGATATGCACATTGAAACACACATACCTGCCTTGGAGTATGAGTTGATTTTATTGTTGAGTCGTTGCATAAGCAGTAACACAGCTTCCAGTTTATTGACGATCTCCATTGTGATATCCTTCCCACCTTCTCCAAGACACTTGGGCTTATATGTCAGAAGGAAGTGACTCCAGGCTCGCAGTACTACTTCCGTATCATCGGTACTAACAAGGAGGCTGTCCCTTAACAGTGCCCTTACAGTGCTCTCCACCTTCTCTAGCAGCTGCCTCCAAGAGCGTATAAGATCAACCTGCAATTTCCAGAACAGATTAACTCATCATAGCCTTTGGCTACAGTCAAAGGCTCTGACGTCACCATAAACATAGAGACTACTCACTGACCATGAGGTTTATTATTTTTTGCTTGAAAATTTGAAGGCAGACCAGTTACCTGTTCAAATCCGCCCAAAAGCTCAGTAGTGTCCATTGCACTGTTCATAGCCATGATCTTTAATGTGTGGCCAGTGAGGTGTGCCAGAAGCTGCACAAGGCTGGTCTTGCCCATGGAGGCTGGCCCCACAAGGATGACCATCCAGCTCATCTGCACGCACTTCATGATGGACTCCAGGGACTGTAACGACTGGTGCAGGAGCATCAGGGGTCGGCGAGATGGGTGAGGAACATAGCTGCCACGGGTGAGGACTGAGTAGCCCAGCTGAGAAAACATGTGAGATTTCACAAGTGTGTGTGGTAATGGGAGAGAAGAAACCATAGAAAACTGTAAAATAAGAGAGGATGATGCTACTCTCCTCACCTGAACTTCATAGGGAGTGATGTGAAACAGTCTGGTTCCCATATACAGGTTGGAATTTGAGCCAAACACATCCTTGAACACAGCAATGACCTAAGGGAAGAAGGTGATGACATCAAAACACAAATCACTCTATCAAATTCTGCAGTGTAGTAAATTACTTAGTGTGGCTTTTCTAGTCATATGTCTTTGTAAACTCTGGTGGAATTTGCTGTGAGCCACTGAGGAGCTCCTGATTGTAAAAGTTATCCACCTGGGGTATTTCTGTTGGGCGCAACACAAAGCAATGTTTGGGAGGTTCCTACTTTCTCTCAGGTGCTTAGAATTCTGATGTTATGTCTGGTTAGTCTGGCCACTCTGCCAGGCTAAAAAGGAGGCCTCCTAGAGGCAGAAGAAGTCTCTCTCTGACTCCTGGTTGAGGAAGACGTGCTGCTGAAAGAGACAGGAACTGCTGAGTGAGACACCAAGGGACACTCACTTGCTGGGAGAGAAACTGTGAGAGACTGTTAGGAGAGAGACTGTGGGCTGGGAGAGAGACTGAGCGTTCTTTCTGAACTTGAATTGTAGCTTGGTGCTTCCTTAATAAACCCCGTAATCTGTGAGTTCTGTGTGGCCACTGCAGTGAATTATTGAACCCAGAAGAGAAGTGGTGGGTGCTTTGGGAGGAAAGGTTGGTGAAAGGGCTGGAGGGAGGCAGCATGTCTGGCCTCACAGGGATAGGCCTTGGGCTGCTGATGGTGATTCTGTCTTCCTCTTGTAGGGTTAGAGGTCAGAACCTGTGGCCTCCTTGCTTTTTGCAAATTCATAGCCAAATTTTCCAGAATGAATACTTCTAGAAAACTTTCACAACTATGAGTCACAATATCCTAAGAACACCAGTCACAATTTACTTATCTTTTTAAATGTTCTACTGTAAAAAAAATACTGACTAAATGATTTAATTCTTCAGAATGAAAAGAAACTTGAACTCAGGAATAGTGTAATCATGTATTTCCAAACTATATGAGGTTCCAGTAAGAGTATACCATAAATTAAAATGAAGCCATGGACACCAAGGCAAATCGAGAGACAAAAAAAGAAACTGCTGGCATCATTCAAAGTGCCACCTAAAAACAGGATAAGAGAGAACAGCAGTAAGAACAATGGCCATTCATTGACTACCTACATTATTTCTGATCCTTACACCTGCAAAATAGGTAGCTTTTCCATTTTATAGATACGGATAATGGGATTCATATGTTGTGTGATCTGCACGTAGTAAGTGATTTTTTAATCTAAATCAGTCTGATGGCAAAAACACCAAGCTATTCATCCAAATAGCTATGTACAATGACAACAAAAGTTTGTTCTCTAACTCTAACCAATAATTTACATGTCATTTTTTTTTCTTTTCCTTAAAGCAGGAATACTGTTAGGTAACTTCCTGTTAAACCTATTTTTATTTGGATTTCTTTGAAAAATCTAAGACATGTTAGGAGGCAGGTTTAAAAAAAAAAAACTTAGTTTCCCATGGCAGTAGGAAAAATCAGAGCCACACAAAACGAATTTATACCAAATTTCAAAACTGTGTAGTTCTAAAAACTCAGTCATACTCACATTAATAATTATTAATAACATTCCCAGCATTCAAGTCAGAATAAAAATAACGAAGGTAAAATTGTCATCAGTGCCAAACAATGACTATGAGACTAAAAAAACCTTAAGGGAGAGTGTGCTCATCACTCACCTCTATGTCCAGGCAATTTTTAACTTCATGTTCCACTCTTATGTCTATAATCTACTTTCTTAAAATTGCAAATGCTTTCATAATCTGTTATTGTTGTTGTCAGGTGCCGCTGAGTTGTCACTGACTCATAGTGATCCTATGTACAACAGAATGAAACACTGCCCGGTCCTGTGCCAGCCTCACAATCTTTGCTACGCCTGAGCCCATCATTACACCCACTGTGTTAATCCATCTTGTTGAGGGCCTTCCCCTTTTTTGTTGATCCTCCACTTTACCAAGCATGGTATCTTTCTCCAGGGAATGATTCCTTCTTCCAACATGACCAAAGTAAGTGAGATAGAGTCTGGTTATTCTTACTTCCAAGGAGCATTCCAGCTGCACTACTTGCAGGGCAGATGTTAGCTCTTTCAGCAGTCCATGATCCTTTCAGTATTCTTTGCCAACACCACAACTCAAAAGCATTGACTCTTCTTAGTTCTTCCTTATTTATTCTCCAGCTCTCACATGCATATGAGGCAACTGAAAATACCATGGCTTGAGTTAGGCACACCTCAGTCTTCAAGGAGATATCTTTGCTCTTCAACACTTGAAAGAGGTCTTTTGCAGCAGATCTGCCCAATGCAATATGTCTTCTGATGTCTTGACTGCTGTTTTCATTGGTGTTAATTGTAGAACCAAGTAATATGAAGTCACTGACAACTTCAATCTTTTCTCCCATTTATCATGATGCTGTTTATTGATCTAGTTTTGAAGATTATTGTTTTATTTATATTGAGGTGTAATCCACACTGCAGACTCAAGTCTTTAATCTTCATCAGTAAGTGCTTCAAGTCATCCTCATTTTCAGCAAGCAAAGTTGTGTCATCTGCGTATCACAGTTTGTTAATGAGTCTTCCTCCAATCCTTATACCACTCTCTTCTTCACATAGTCCAGCTTCTCGGATTATTTTTCAGTATCCAGATTGAATAAGTATAGTGAAAGGATACAACCCTGACCCACTCCCTTCCTGATTTTAAACCATGCAGTATCCCCTTCATCTGCTCGATAGCCTCCTGGTCTATGTACAGATTGTACAGATTCCGCATGAGTACAATTAAGTGTTCTGGAATTCCCATGCTTCTGAATGTTATCCACAATTAGTTATGATCCATACAATCGAATGCTTTTGCATAGTCAATAAAACACAAGTAAACACCTTTCTGGTATTCTTTGCTTTCAGCCAAGATCCATCTGACATCAGCAATGATAACCTTCATTCCATGTCCTCTTCTGAATGCAGCTTGCATTTCTGGAAGTTCTCTGTCAATATGCTGCACCCGTTTTTGAATTATCTTCAGTAAGATTTTATTCACATGTGATATTAATGATGTTGTTCAACAATTTCCACATCTCCTACATACATACTCCTTCTCTGGAATGGGTACAAATGTGGATCTCTTCCAGTCAGTTGGCCAGGTAGCTGTCTTTGAAATCTCTTGGCATAGCTGAATGAGTGCCTCCAGCATGGTATCTGTTTGCTAAAACATCTCAATGGGTATTCCGTCAATTCCTGAAGCCTTGTTCTTTGCCAATTCCTTCAGTGCAGCTGCAACTTTTTCCTTCAATACCATTGGTTCTTGATCATATGCCACCTCCTGAAATGGATGAACATCAACCAATTCTTTTTGGTACAGTTACTCTGTATATTCCTTCCATCTTCTTTTCATGTTTCCTGCAGCATTCAATATTTTGCCCATAGAATCTTTCAATGTTGCAACTAAAGGTTTAAATGTTTTCATCAGTCTTTCAACTTGAGAAATGCCAACCATGTTTATAATCTAGTTAGGTTTATTTGGTTTTATAAAATCAGACTCAATTCACCTAAAACTTTCCAAGTTTTATAGTCTTTCTATTAATTGAATGTCTGCTTCCTGGTATTTTTTTTCTCAGTCAACACTTATTTGGTAGATCACAGTAACCCTGAACTGGAGGAGTGAAAAAAACCTTCCACCATCTACCATCTGACTGACATCAATTGCCCAACAACTGGCCAATTTTTTACCACAATTAATACCAAAAATTAATAAAAGGATGACTAAATTAAAATACCAGGTGATGACATATAAATTACCTATCAACAAAACTGTTAAAAAAGACTAGCTGAACGCTTTCTCCTAATATACAGAGTGAAGGTCACTTACAGGTAATAAATGGACTGCTAAGGTTTGGCTAGGTTCTGGATACAACATAAAAAAGGATCTAGGAGCTCTGGTAGCATAGTGCCTAAGGCACTTGACTGCTAACCAGAAGGCTGGCGGTTCAAACCCACCAGCCACTCCTCGGAAGGAAGGTTGGGCAATCCTACTTCCGTAGTGATACTGCCTCGGAAACCCAAGGAGGGGTCGCTATGAGTCGGGGCTGACTCGATGGCAAATAACAACAACCAACAACAGACTGAGTGCAGCAGAATGCAAAGTATGTGACATCCTTCCATGCAATAGGCTAACCCTATCTTCCCATTTTAACAAGGATGTTACTGCTTCTTTATGTGCAGAGCAATATTTTAATTAATTTGTTTTCAAATGGCTGTAGTGTAGTAGAAGGACTACCAGATAAAGTGAAAAAGGCCTCGGTCAGAGAGCTGGCTCTGGCACCTATGACCCGTGAGATACCAGGCCTCTGACAGGTCTTCATCTGAAAGAGATCATGATAGCATCTCCTACATACAGCTCTTACAAGCATTCAGTGGGACAAAACTTTACATACCATGAAGCAAAATGCCCAAATCATTATAATTTCTTAAGTTAGAAATTCTTAGGTCATATTCTATTTACAACTAACAGATATTTTTATGCCCTTTTAAACACATAATAACGTTTCTTTCAGGGCTTTGAATCAGTTGAAAAAAGTTTAGTAATTGCTACATTAAATAAGGGCCACATATGCACTGCATGGCAACCAAATCTGTTGTGCTGGTATTTGGACCTGAATAGGAAATAAACAAGGAGCCCTGGTGGTACAATGATTAAGTGTTTGGCTACTAACCAAAAGGTCAGCAGTTCAAACTCATTAGCCATTCCAAAGGAGAAAGATGTGGCAATTGGCTTCCGTAAAGATTACAGCCTCGGAAACCCCGTGTGGCAGTTCTACTCTGTCCTACAGGGTTGCTATGAGTTAGCATCAAATTGATGGCAATAGATTTTTGGTTTTAGGAAACAAGCAGCTGTGACCTGCTCAAAGATGGCTGCCAAGAGCACCTCTTTGAATGTGTGTTGCTCTCCATAGTCCTACCAATAATATTGATCTCCAAAAGTCCTGCCACAGTCCTTCCTCTTATAAGTTGCAAGAGCCTCATGTGAGAGACTGATTACTGCCAGGGCTCAGAGGCACCTTGGAAGACAGGAAAATTGCTTTCAAAAGGTATGAAAACCCTATGGAGCAGTTTTACTCTGCACACAGCATCACCATGAATCAGAATTAACTCAATGCCAAGTAATAACAGCACACTTTCTATATAAAATATTATCTAATGTGATCTTTGCTTCAAAACAAAACAAAACAAAACCTCTCCCCTTTTACTAGGTGATATCATCTGCCTTTCTCTCTCTGCTTCCTGTTTCTATGCCTGGGAAGCTGATGATGACCTAGTTCTTTATTATGGTTTTAAGAAAGTTTGCAATCATGGGAATTTAGATAGATAAGCAAATTACACAGTGAATGTTTAGTTTGTTCCTTTAACTCCTAAATTTCTAAGCAGCTTCAATGGACTTGGTATTATTAGTGTTAGTGTGCTCTTTTTCTCCCTCAGTGAAAAAACACCATCAACTTTCAGATTAAAAAAAAAAATCACAAAGAGCAAGTGTGAAACTCACCTTTTCTTTGTCTTCCCTGGTTCTCATTCTTTCACCATAGACCAAAAACACATGCTGAGCAGGATCATAACACCCAGGAGACTGGTCAACCAGCATCAACTGACACCAGCGGAAAAGGTCCCGGAGGTTGAATTCCCAGGGTCCTCCTTTCTGTCCCCATTTCTTTTGAACAGTCACTTCATGATCAATCTGGAAAAAGGTACCCTTATTGGGAAACTTATCATGCTGCCAAAGCAATGTATTAAGTGCTATCAATGTCTACAAATGCTAATGAAATCTGAAATAGAAATTAACAGGCTTAATTCATATATCGCCTTCTCTCAACCCAGATTTGCAAATGACAGCAATTCGTTCTAAGCATTAAAACTGGTACACATAATACAGAACTGATTTCTATAACCTTCAAATGAGAAGCCTGCCTTACACTAGAAATGCGTAAGTCTAGTTGATTTATCTTAGTTAGAAAGACCGGTAATTTGGCAGATACCCATGTTAAGAAAATGCTGGTACTAAGATAGCCAGGAAAATAAGGAACTATTAATACAAGGACTCACTTGGTTATTGAAAGCAACCATTTTCTTGACAATATTTTTGTCAATGGCTGGAAACAAAGTACTGGCAATGAACTCCATGTCAATTACTGTAAGGGGATCCACAAAGACCTATAAAATTTAAAAATACCACAAAGAACTATCACGGTTTCTCTTTACTAATCACCAACAATGACCATCACATTTCACGAGAAATTATTTAACACCAAAGTGGCACCTGCTCAGTAACATACATACTTTTCAGTTACAGAACTTTCTCTTACTATATTTTTAGAACGTAGAATCATGTATCACCTTTAAAATAAAGAGCAACAGAAGTTTTTCTTTTTTTAAATCTTAACTGTAGTGAATTAAAGAAAATGAAAAAGAGATTAAAAAGCACTTAAAAAGAATTAATTTGTTTAAAAATTTTCCTATGTATTACACAAAATGTTCTCAAAAATCTGGATGGAGGTATGTGAGTGTTCACTCTAGAATATGTTCAGCTTTTCAATATGTTTGAAAATTTTCATGATAAAATATTCTTAAAAGATACTCAGTACATTCTTCATTATCACAGGGCAGAGACATTAAAGAAAGCTAACATAGAGGCATTCTCAAAACTCTAGATTAGCCAAGTTCTGAAAAATAACTGTTAAAAAGTAGTAAAGTAATGAAAGAATATTTAAGGTGTTTGGGTTGCCCATTCACTTTCAGTAACCATTGAATGTGGTATTAAAAAAGGCGTAAATTAAACTCCTTGCAGCCATTTTCTACCTTTGAATTTGGTGAATTCTTTGGTGTAGGAACTGCATAAGTTACAGTTTATAACTGTTACAGTTGCTTGTTTATATAACTGAACTTACATAGTCTGCCAAAATCGTATGGTTTCCCTTAAAACCAGTTTTAACTGGTTTTTTAAAAAAATTAAAAATCTAGTTAATTCACAAAATGAATTATCAACCTCCTGTTGAATTATTAAGGGAATGATTTCTTTTAAGAAAAAGTACAAAACAAAGAACATGCAAATACACAGACATTATTGAAATAAAGGCAGATAGAAAAAATACCATGATGGTAATGATAATTGGCTTTGGAATAGGAATAAAGATTTTTGTTTGTTTGTTTTTCATGGTAGTTTTCTGTTCTCTTCAATCAAAATGCATTATTTTCATTATAAAATGTTTTTAATGTTTTAATATATCACACAGATATATAAAAGTCAATGACTAGCCTTTATCAGTTAATGTAGCAACAGAATTCTGAAGAGAGGGATGACCTTACTCTCCCCTCCAGCTGACAACACAACAGCTCAAACCAGTGATTCAAGCCAGGACCAAAGTTACAATGGAAATCAGTCACATAAATGATCATCATACAAAGACATGAAGTTGAGAAGCAGAACACTAAACTAAGCCCTTCTCATTCTCATAGTGAGCATCCTAACAGCTAAGGGCCAGCAGTCCTATCAGCCCTAATACTGTACCTACAGTCGCTGTGGCTACAGCAAATCTCACCTGAGTGAATCTGTTAAGGAAAGACTTAGGCAAGCCCTTCCTCCCACCTCCTTGTCTGAAAGGATTTTGACATCCAAAAATCTTCGTCTTCTCATGCTGTACTTGAAAGCTCATTCCTAACTCAGGAACATAGATTTCTCCTCGATGGTCAAAACAGGCATTGAGTCCTTCCAATACAGACTGAGAAGCCAAGTTAAGCTATTTGGAAAAGAAAGAAAGTGCATGTATTTCTTTTATTATTTACCCTATATAACTAATAACAAAAAGCAAAGGAATAATACACGATACTAAGATAGGGTGATTTTCAGGGAAGAAGCTTAAACAATGCTGGTTAACATTCTGTCTCTTATATTGAGAGATGATGTGATATATATTGATTGCATTATTCTCATGTTACATATATGTCAAAAAGATTTTGGATGTGTAAAATAATGTATCAATATATCAGTAACTTTTCAAAGTAAACTGAATAAATATTTAGATTGAACAAAAAAAGAGACAGCTAAACTGTTCTCCAGAGTCTCATTTTTGCAATCTGGTGGGTTTTTTCCCCCAAAAATTTAACAGTAAATGTAGAGAATAGGTGAAGTTTGATCACTCTTTACATACCTTTCTAGTTCAAATACTAAGCAAACTTTCCAAACGAGATTCAAAATTGTGATATAAACAACATGGGTCTTAAGTGCATCTGCAAATCCAGAATGCCTATGATGTGTTTAAACTCACAGTCCCTTGATGCATTATACCAAATATGAGGGTGATCAAAATAGCCTTAAACTTTAGATCTAGCCATTTTCTTTTTCTGGCTGATAAATGTTCTATTAGATATCTTTTCCCAAAAATCTAGAAAAACTCCCTCTCCTTGATGATCTCCCCAAGAACAACAGGAGCCAGCTCAGAATTAAGGGATTCCACAACATTTCCTCTGATGTGGAGCTTTGCAACAGTATCTGAATCTAGGACATTGATGGGGCTTGTGTCAAAAGTTTCACCTGAAGTACTTTCATCACTAATAATTTCAGCTCCACATGACTTCCTAGCCTTATATCCCAAACTGATCCTTCAGTAATAGCTTATTTTTTTTTATTCTGTGCATCACTCTTCCATGTTTCTGGGTAGCTTGGCAGTCACATAGATTCAGCGTGTGTTTCATGATGAGCTTTGGTTCTTTTAAGAAATAATTTACCCAATATGCAATCTAACACTGACTATTTTCTATTTCTGCATGTCTCTTCTTACTGTAATTTTCCTCCCTCTACTTTTGCACTGATAAAATACAAAACGGTTGACATTACTTGTAAAACACCTCTGAAATAAAATACAAATGCAGCAAGCCTGCCAGAGACTAGAGAATAAACCAGCCAAGAGACAGTTTAAACAAACTTACAAAAGCAAGAGTTTGTAGGTTATATGTACAGAGACTTCTGGATATGCTTTCTATCAAGTGACATTTCTTATTCTTAAAAGAAAAGGAGGACTCTTTTCATTAGAGAATTTGCCTTTACTGACCATTAGTATAATCACTCACTGCAAATTGCCCCAGAGATATACAAAATAGAACTGCTCCTCCCACATGTGACTTCATCATTGCACGATGGACTGTCCCCTCACCTCATCCAACACAATCCAGTGGCCTGCCTTCAGAGCGGCCAGTAAGGGGCCATCACGCCAGGCAAACTCGCCTCCTTTGCCACCTTCAACAGGTAGATCTGCTCCAAATAGGTCTGTGATGTCCTTTGAGAGGGAGAAGAAAAAGGGAAATGACAACAATACACACAAAGATTAACCAGACCCCAAAGTCCTAAGTCTAAGATGATAAATACTTGGGCCCTGTGCCACTACTCTTCCTTCTTACCCTTCAAACAGATAGAAAACTTACTCCTTCCCAGGGAGCCCAAACATGACCCAAGTACTTTCACATAATGCTTTAACTATCAATCAGCTGGAGATGGCACCTTCCAATTAGGAATTAGGTTAGTTTTCAACACTGGCTGCACTTAGGAATTAACTGGTGAAGTTTTTAAACAAAACAAAGAAACAGTTAACTGCTCAGACCCTACTGTCAGAGAATCTCACCTACTTTGCCATCTCTGTCCCATACTTTCATTAGATTATTTAAGTCATTTTGTTAAGGAGGTCTGGTGGCATAGTGCCTAAGTCATTTGACTGTTAACCAAAAGGTCAATGGTTCAAACCCACCAGAGCCACTCCACAGAAGGAAAACTGGGCAATCTACTTCCATAAAAATTTACCACTTTGGAAACCCAACGGGAGTCACTATGAGTTAGAATTGACTCGATGGCAACGAGTTTGGTTTGGTTATTTTTGTTTCTGCTAATTCTTCAGAAAGGAAACAACTGAAGTAGGGTTAGAATAAATAGTGAGGTGAGTATTTTCCCTCAACAGAGAAGAAAGAATTCAGAGAATAAAATCATAAATGTCAACTACTAACAAACCCCGGAACAGAATTAGTTTGCATGGTTACTGTGGTCTTTTTATCACAAGAAATATTGGAGGTATTGACAATCTCATAACTATTTCTGATTAGGAAACTCTATAACAGAGACAAACATTACCGTCTATACCTGTCTCTGTTATCGAGAGCATGACTAAGCTTACCGTCTGCTCTGACAAGTTGATTCGAACAAGAGTGTTGCCTGAGGCCTTTGCTAATGCTCCCACCAAACTGGTCTTGCCCACGCCAGGGGAGCCCTCCAGGAGAATGGGTTTGTTCAGTTTCGTGGCACGTAAGAGCCTCTGGGCATTCAGAGCTGTAGTGCCAGCACTGAGTGCATAGTCGGCAATATTATTCCTGTGAAGGACAGGTCCTTAAATGGAGAGAAAAACCATATATAAGTTGGACACCACCAAACTGTATGTACAAGTCAACACAAGATGCTGAGAATCCACCACAGGAAGGCTATCTATCATCCAGTAAAGAACCATCTGCAGTGAAAATGTTTAGCTCCTATTTCAATACTTTCCCACTATGGGAAATACAAAATGCTTTGTGGGAATAGCCAGTACCCTAATTTCTTAAACTGTGCCCACTCAGATAGCTCATTGCTAGCCACTGTAATACCTATATATATGTACACAGGTCTAACAACAAACACATTATCTCTCCTTTTACAACCTAGACCTCTAATGTACTTGTAAAATTTACTTTCTAAATAGGTATTTCCAGAAGTTCATGTGTAAGCTAGATATATAGGCTACAAGGTTCCACATAAACAATTTTATCCAAGGCGTTTAGGGCACCAAGATAATCCAGGACTATGTCCTTCTGAAGTACAGGGCCTAACATCTGTGCCATTATCTCTCTTGGAAGAAGCTTTTGGTATACTAGTGTGAAGGGTATAAGCCTAGGATAACATCTATGACCTCAGGCTTGGAAGCAGAAGTAATGACCACTCCAGTCCTAGGCCACTGTACTGTTCCTACACAGGACACAGAATACTATCATCGTGGCTCAAAGAAAGGACAGATGATGTGGGCCCCACTGGGGATAGGAGAGGCACTGTAGAAAAGAGAGCTCTAAGTTAAGGGAAAGGGGCAATGGGTTATTAGGTCAGTAGCCCTGGCTGGTTTTATCCACCACTGAATATCTAGTAATTGCCACCGCACCTCTCATATTTTAGGTACCAAACAATTATTAATGTAGGGAGGAAGGGAGAGACAGAGAATAGATAACCCTGCTACACAAGCAACAATCTGAAAGATTGAAGAGCGCTTTAGAAGATATCTAACCCAAATCACTCATTTAAATATTTAGTAGAAGCAAATCTAGTAGGAATGAGAGCAGGGATTAGTTAGAACTTAAGCCCAATGTCTCCTAGATTATTGCACTTCCAATTTAAATATTCATTCATCCATTTATTCAACCAAGAGACATTTTCTGAGAGCCTATGACTACCAGGCTACATGTTAGATGCCAAGCAGTCACAAACCAGCTTTTCTTAAAGGGGTTAAGGTTTTGTAGTTAAGATACATTTGGGTGAACAGGACTTCTTAGGTAAATTAAGTCTACTGACAAGTAGACTCAACCATGCTATGGAAAGTTCTATTTTGAGCACCAAATAATTAATGAATAAATGCATTTTTATATGGCAATCTATTCATGGGTTAAAGACTACATTTTTCTTTATTTTTACATGGCAGTTACATGTTTTGAAACATTTATATAATTATTGTAGGTTACATTCAAACTTAGATATCTAGTTAAAAAATAATTGAAACTGACACACTAAAAACTTTAAAGTCAAATACTATCTACAAGAAGAGAATTGTCATTGATTTAAAATCATGCTTACCCCTTGGTATAAAAAATGGATGAATTCCCCAAAGATTATCTATCCCAGTGAATTCTTTAGCCTTGAGCCTGTCATAAATCTTCAATTCATTTTTCTGACATTCTGTAAGTCGGACTATCCTGGAAAGTTTCTTGCTTAGGAATTTCAAACATTCTTTGCGAGCCAAGAGGGCTGTACCAAACCCAGAGGAAGTCATTCCTAAGAGACAAAGGATAAGTCCATTATTCAACACCAAGCATCACACCCATTCAGTAGAATTATAGCCTAAATATGATGCCTAATGTAAGGAGTCCTAAGAAAGAAGCTGGACCCCTTTTAAAGTTTACAGATAATCAGCTCAGCAGCAGTTTATTCAAGAAAGTACTCCAGCCACTCAATGATAAATGAGCTTGGAAACAGAGTAACTAATTCAATATTATGAGCTATTTGGTTTATATATCTAATCTTCATGGCTAAAAATAGAGAACTTAAAAATATTGAGTTTTATATAATTATAACAAAACAAATTAAAGAATTCAGGCTCATTAATGAGAAAGGAGTAACAATGTCTATAATAGCGTTGACCATAAATATGACCACTCATGCTGGGAATTTAGCCCGTGCTTCAAAAGTAAGACCATTTCTGATAGTCTTCTCTCTACTCATAATCACTGTTTCACATTTACTAAGTACCTGGTCTGTAAGCTATAAAAAGTTTTGGCATAGTATCTTTTATACTAACCACCTCTCAAAAAGGAGTAAAATGAAAAAGACAGCCATTTTGAATATGGAAATGTTAAGTGTATTCAGTAAAAGATGTGGGTCAGAAGCCTGTTTTTCTTTCCCACCCACCCTCTAACCTACCTTTCATTTCCACCAGCTAAAAGATAACATACCTGAACCTATTCCATCTATGTACACCAGGCATGCGGCATGGACAAAAGATGTCACAGCAGAGATGGCCTCCGGCCTTTTCAAAGCAGCTTCCTCCCACATCGTATTCATGAAGTTAACCCAGGACAGGATATCTCTGATACTGACCACACACCTTCGCCCAAACTCCTGGTGGGTTAGCCAGTCAGTGAAATCCAGCATCACCTCAGCTATGTCAGCCCCTAATGAAAAAAAGGCATTTCCTCTTTGTGGGAGATCCTAGAACAAGAGTTTGTAAGCTAGGACCCAGATAGCCTAGAAGGGACTATGATTCTTGAGATCACAGGCAAATTTTTATAAATGTACATTCATGCATTTTTCTAAGAAGGAGTCCAAAACTTTTACTGCATTCCCAAGGCATTCATGAATAGCTTTTCACCCCTACCCCCCAAAAAAAATCATTATCTAAGAAGCTACCCTAAAAATTGTACAAAATAATTATGATCAGGCAAAATTTTTAAGTTATGTCACAATAATTTTAGAAAATATACAAATGTTATTATATTTTAAACTGATTCACTAGAATAGAATATGCCACTTTTTCAGTAGCATTTAGTTCTGTTTTTGTGTATGACTAAGAATTCAACAAATGAGTTCCCAAATTTTGTTTCAAGTTGAAAGACTAATTAGAGTGACTATTTTAATTATAAAATTACAAATGGTAAAATACTTCTCTGCAAACAAAGAAAATACTTCCTAAGTGTGGTGTAGTAAATTACTTAGTGTGGCTTTTCTACCCATCTTTGTAAACTCAGTGCTGGAATGAGCAACTGAAGAGCTCCTGATTGTAAATGTTATCCACCTGGGGTATTTCTGTTGGGCGTGGTACAACACAATGTTCTGGGAGGCTCTCTCTTTCTCAGGTGCTTAGAATTCTGATGTTATAATTGGTTAGTTGGGCCACTCTGCCGGGCTCAACAGGAGGCCTCCTAGAGGCAGAAGGGGTCTCTCTCACTGCTGGTTGAGGAAGATGTGCTGTTGAAAGAGACAGGCACTCCTGAGAGACACATGCTGCTGGGAAAGAGATGCAAGAGACACGCATTGCTGAGTGAGACATCGAGGGACACGCACTGCTGGGAGAGAGACTGTGAGAGACGTGGCTGAGAGACAGTGGGCTGGGAGAGAGACTGAGCGTTTTTCCTGAACTTGAATTGTAGCCTGGTGCTTCCCTAATAAACCCCATAATCTGTGAGCTGTGTGTGGCCACTGCAGTGAATTAGCGAACCTAGGAGAGAGGTGGTGGGTGCTTTGGGAGGAACAGTTGGTGAAAGGGCTGAAGGGAGGCAACATGTCTGGCCTGGGCTACTGATAGTGATTCTGTCTTCATCTTGTGTGATTAGAAGAGGTCAGGAGATGTGGCCTTCTTGCCCTTTTAGCACTAAGTAATATGTACAGACGAAAAGCAATGCAAAAATGGGAAGGTTTTGCTTAGGGAACACTGAGTTTATTTTTTAATGGTGACAGAATAATTTAGAAGGGATAGCAAGAATGGTTGAACAACTTGAAGAATGAAATCAATGTCAATGAATTATACTTTCAAAATTGTTGAATTGGCCTATGTTTTGTTGTATGTATTCTCAACACACTTTAAAAAAAAAAAAAAGCAATGCCAATTGAACTCTGTAGAGCACCTTATAAAACTTCTGAAGTCAACAACAAACATTTATCAAGAAGGTACAAACACCAAAACATGTTTTTTAAAAAAAGAAGTTAAAGGAAATGATGAGGAATTAGCCCTGCTGCATTGTAAAGCTGACTATATATCAACAGCCTTCAAACCGGGTTAAAAGAAAAACAATCAAATACTAATTATAGAAGAAAAAAATCAAACCTTTCAAAAGAATTTATAGTGATAAATCAAGGGAAAAATATCAATAACAATGAGGAAAGAAATACTATTTCAGCAACGAGATACCAAACACAAGTATGTTTTTTTAAAAACAAATATTAAAAGGTAACAAAATATAGAAAAACCTATATAAGACCTATAGCAGAGACTATTGTTCAAAAAATATATAATTAATATTGTGGGGGCTAGAGATCTATGTGGAGATTAGATTAAAACAAAATGTGGAAACAGAGGACATTTCTGCCAAGTTTGGAGAACATGGCCAAAACCTGGTCTCAAAGGGCAAATGTTTAAGAAATAAGAAACCTAAACCTTACAGATAATAATTAGCTTGTCTATTTACGTTTATGTGTAAATAACAGTCCTACATTCCAGACAAGCTGGCATCTAGCTATTTAGAAACCTCATCGGCAGGCGTGAATCCCTCAAACCTGCATCATTTGTCTTCTTAGCCAACCACAGTTCTAAGAAAGGATTGTAAGAGGCATTTTGGTGAATATCTAAAAGACTCACTGACACCTCTTGGATTTTCCTGACTTTCTCCATACCGCCTCCCCTCAGGTGCAACACCTACTCTCATACTGCATGGTGTCTTATTTGTGAACTGTATGATTGGTTAATATAGCTCCAGCATTATTTTAACTCTTAGAAATTATTCAATATTAATACATAAAATGATTAACAGTTTTTAAAAAATAAACCAAAAAAAATTTTTTAAATGCACCATCTCATAGTGATTAAAGAAAGGAAAATTATTATAGACTATCTACTGAATAAAGTAAAATAACGAATATCATTATATATTAAAAAATAAACCTTCCACTTTGCAGAGACTATGGGAAGCAGACACATTTACTCATAAGTTGCTGGAAGGAAGGACTGTGAATGAGATCAGTCTTTATGGAGAAGAATCAGCCCTAACCAACGTAAACTGTGAATTTCCCTGCTTCTGGTACTAGAACAACACTCAAGGCAATTGAAAACAGAATGCTTTGAGCAGTACTGTTCTTAAGAGTGCAAGACTGCAAAAAAAAAAAAAGCCCACAGGCCACTTACAAGAGAACATTTTTAAAATGTATCAATTTCATAACATCTTTTATGTTCAGTAAAAATTATGAATATAAGGGTAACAAAAACATTACTACAGAGATCTGTAAACCCAAAATAATAGAGACTAAGTAGAACCCATAGTGGTATGTATAAGTTAATTAAGACAAAGCAGAAAATATATCTAAGTGCTCTGATTAGGATCAGAATTCCATTTACAGTAGTTAAATTTATCATTGAAATAGTCAACTGATTAGATATTTATGTCATCAAAATTTAGATATCTTTAAAGAAAATCTGAATAACAAACTATGCCTCGTTTCCTGTTTTTTTAATGCACCATTTAAAAAATGTTTTTACAGTCTATCTTCTTGATATGCTTCCAGATGACAATGCTGTTGAAAATTTTTACACGAGTTCTCCCTTACTCTCCTATGCTCCCTGGGGGTCTCTAATGCCTCACTGGGGAAGTCTGCTGCCATGTAACCTGGAAAGGCTGGAGTGGTAAACGAACTCCCTAATGACAAGCAGTGGAGCCCAGAGGCAAGTTCTAAGAGCTCAAATGCTTAGTGCCCTATGGAGAAATTGTTCATTTCAATTAACATCAAGCCTATGGTGACAGAGCAAATAGGACAGTGTAATATTAACTATGTCTGGTGCCTGGCTTATCAAAATCCATATAACTTACCAAAGGAGATATCCAACAAAGAGCTAAACATAAACCATATCTGCTGGACAGTTTTCATTATTCTTCTCCTCCACTTTCTTTGACTTTAATTCTCACAGTAAGTGTGTCCTTGTCACCAGCACACAACCTGGTTGTTCTGGTTACCTAGTGCCTCTCTGACAAGAATATATACCACAAATGGGATGGCCTTAACAGACAGGAGTTTATTCTCTTACAGTTTTTAAGTTCCAGTTCAAAGTGCCAGGCTCTAGAGGCTGGGTGAAAGCCCCTCAACCTTGGGCTTCATCTCTGCCTCCTGCTCCCAGCCCACTGAAGCTGGAGGCTTTTCTTCACTCAGATAGCTGCTGAGCTGATAAGCCCAAGATTGACAAGTAAAAAGGCATAGTCCAGATGCCAGATGTTACCAAACCACACAGCAGGCCAGTCATTCAAGTCCATTGAAAGTCCCAAGGACAGTCCCAAGAAAGTCGCCTGTATACCTCATATAAAGATGGTCAAAGGTGAAACCATAAGAAAGATAGAACTTAGTAACACTGGTGAAGGAGGCAATGTGAAAGAGTGACACTTTAATAGATGGTACCAGCCTATTATATTTTCCTTAGATCTATTTTGGTCTATTCTCTGCCTCACTTCTCCCTTTAAACATATCGAATCTACACACTACATAACATCCTAGCCACACGCCCCCCTCAGGCCCACCTGAAAATTCTCACCTTTATGATCTGTTCTGCCCAGAGACAATCCCGGATGAAGATTGCGATTGATAATCTGAATCAAATCCTCACGACTTGTGCTTTGAGGACACCATATTTCTGTAAACCGGTTTCTCAAAGCAGGAGACAGCTACAAAGAACACAGATTCCCAAGTGAATTAAAAATCTGTAAGAAAAGTTAGAAAATAAGCCCTTCGAAAGAATGTTAGCTGTGAGTCTGGGATGTACCAGATGCTTCTTTTATTAGTGCTACTACTAGATACCATTTGTGGAGAATGACTCTGCCCTGGCTCCCTACATATGTCATCCATTAATCTCCACTGTACTCTCGAAGTCAGTATTATCAACACTCCTTTAGAGACAGGGTACAGAGTTTCAAGTTCCTATACAGTAAGAAGTACAAGGAGGATTCCAGCCCCAGTGGTTGACTCCCAAATCTCTTTCCCTTAAACACAGGTTCTTCCTTTACCTTCAGCCAAATAACCATGCTTAAGAGGAAATAAATAGCTATCTTCTTGTAAGAGAGAGGCTATAAGAGAATGAAGTAGAAGAATACTTTTTATATGTAGGCTAAACCAAAAACAAAACAAAAAAAAACTCACTGCCATTGAGTTGTTCCCAACTTATAGTGACTCCCATTGGGTTTACAAGGCTGTAAATCTTTATGGAAGATGGCCCTGTCTTCCTTCCACAGAGCAGCTGGTGGGTTTGAACCACTGACCTTCTGGGTTAGCAGTCAAGTCCCTTATCCACTACACCACCAGAGCTCCTTATGTAGCTCAAAGGGAGTGAAATTTTAAGGAAAGATATACTTTGTATCTTATACAACAAAGAACTCTTTACCTTCTCCAACCTTAGGACTTTTGCCTTCTGTTTGGATTCCTCTTTCCTTTCCATAGGTTAATCCCTGGTGATCCCTCAAGGTTTTACAATAACACAAGCATGAAATTACTATTTAGTCACTGCTTTCCTATTTACCTGACTATAAACTCCACTGTCTATCAGGCCCACCACTGCAGGAGCCAGGACCCGTTGGTGCTTATATTCAAGACCTAGTGGATGGGTCAGTGTTCCTAGCACCATGATAGACAAGCAGCAACTCTGGCGCTCAGGATCGTACCTTCTCTGCTTGGTAAACAGGTAAAAGCAAAAAAAGGAGCTTTCCTTTATGTAAAGGTTGGCAAGCTTTGTCTTAAGGAAAATGTAAGCTAATATGACTGGCAAGTTAATATATACAATCTTGAAATCAGGTCTTTTTGTGGTATTTCTACCTGTCAATGAACCAGTTTGTATATCTGAGTTTGAAACTATAGTAATTGTATTCCTTCTCTTCAGAGCACTACTTGGAGCACAGTAATAATCGATCCTCCTATGCTGCTGAGGAAAATTTAAAACAGTTGCTGTCGATTCCAACTCATAGCAACCCCCTGTCTGTCTGAACACAACTGTGTTCCACAGGGTTTCCAAAGGCTGATTTTTTTGAGAGTGGCTTGCTAGGTCTTTCTTCCAAGGTGCCTCTGGGTGGACTTGAACTTCCAACCTTTCAGTTAGCAGCCAAGCGCTCTAATCATCTGCATCGCCCAGGGACTTTTGCTAAGTAAAACTAGGCCCCAAATACCATGTTCATATTTCAGACACCAACCAAGTTAAGTCACTAAGAATCTTAACTGCCTTCACTCAAAATTAATCCCTCTGTTTCTTGTCATTATGCCTGACCTATTAAACATACTATGTTTTTACTAACAGGACAGATCAGTGTCTTTGCAAATAATGCTAACATCTCCACCAAAAGGCTTCACGAACCTGAAAGCCATAGTGTTGATTCCTAACTGGATCTAAACACACTTCTAAACAGAATGAACTGCCCTCTATTTTTTACCAACAGTCTGGCAATGACCCATATAAAACAGGTAAATTCTAACTGCAAAAGCAGATGAAGTTTCTAGCTGTGAGTTTTTGTTTTGTTTTGTCTCTTTTAAATAAAGCCAGATTACTGTTTAAGAGAGAATACTCCAGAAGCACAGCTTGGGTTTAAATTTATTCAGTTTTAACGTTTCGCATCTATAAAATTAGAATACTACCTTTCTTATGGGGCTGTAGGTAATATGTATAAAGGGCTAGACAAAGTGACTGCAACTCTTCATGAAATTTCAGAAAGTGAGAAGCCAAATAAGGAAATGATTATTTGTCAGAATTATCTTTTAACCCAACAAAACAAAATAAGTGGTCATTCAACCAGTTATGATTCATGATGACCCCATAGTGACTCTAAAGTATATCTCTGGAATTTTACCTATTACTCACTATTAACCTAATATAAAATTCCAAATCCATTGTCACATACTGTAAGTGTCAGTTCGGTGAGGGAAAAAAACTAGAAAAAAATTAGGTTCCAGGAAGTACAGTTTTACCTCTTTTTTTCCAAAGTCGCCCCCAGGGTTCATGGTTGCCAATACACGGAATTTTTTCCCAGCAGTCAACAGCTCTACCTCATTATCCTTGTCCTCTAGGCTGCCTTTTTCAGCCAACACCAGAGACTTTTCTACTTCAAGGACACTAAAAGAAAAAGTATTTCTGAGATCAGAAAGGTTTCTGTATTCTTTCTATACTGAAGGCCTCGAAGTTCTCTAAAGAGAATAAAAGGTATCTCCTCTGCTGAGCTTTCAGTTTAGTTAATGGTTTCTTACCACAAATTTAAACATGATTCACTATCTCAAATGTCTGTGTAACAGTATTTCTGTTCAAGCGTGAAAGAACACCTTTCCTACTAACGCTCTATTGAAGCATTTGTCTTATAAACATGAGTCTCTTGTATGTGAACGTTCATACCAGTATTGCTCAAAATAGCTGAAAAGTGGAAATAACCCATCAATTGGTGAATGGGAAAACAAAATATGGTCTATCTACACAACAGTTACTATTAGGAATAAAAAGGAAAAAATATTGATACACGACACACAACATGAAAGAAGTCAGACACAAGAAGTCATTTATACTGTCAAAATACCCAGAAAAAGTAAATCTACTAAAACATAAAATAGATTAGTGACTGCCTAGCACAAGGAGTATAGAAGGAATCTTACAGGGATGATGAAAACGTTCTAAAACTGGATTGTAGAGGTTGCAAAGCTCAGTAAATTGCTAAAACTCATTTAATCATACATTTAAAATAGGTAGATTTTATGATATGCAAATCATACCTCAACAAAGAGAAAAAAATAGGTGCTGCTACATCAAGATTCATACTGGTTGGAGGTTCTGTGATACCTTATAGCCATAAGATCTAGAATTCTGTTTCTAGCTCTTTTAAAAATTAAGACAGTAGGCACATGTTGTTGTTGTTGTTATGTGCCGTCGAGTCGGATCCGACTCATAGCGACCCTCCTTGGGTTTCTGAGGCATATCACTACGGAAGTAGATTGCCCAACCTTCCTTCTGAGGAGTGGCTTGTGGGTATGAACCACCAGCCTTCTGATTAGCAGTCAAGTGCCTTAGGCACTATGCTACCAGCGCTCCTAGTAGGCACATAATTTGCCTAAAATAAGAATTCTAACTTAGCTCTGCCATCTAACAGGCCTGTCTTTCTGATCATCAATAGCTAAAAAACACAAAGCTAACCAGGTTTCTTAAAAGAATGCTAAAATCACAAAAAGTCATCCTTTCCAAACCTTTACAATGTACCTAAGAGAGGCATTTTGCCATGCAAGAGAATTATTATCTATAAATACCAGACCAGCAAAAAAAATAAAGCATAGGGTCAAGCTTTCATGCATGTACCTGTTAAGCCTTTCCAGGACAGAGTCCTCAGCCAATGAGATCTCATCCAAGAGGAAAAAGCCATCCTCCTTCATGGCCAGAACCAGAGGTCCATCATGCCACTCAAAGAGTCTTGATGTGTCAATTTCTTCCTACAATTTGGAAAAGAATGGGGGTAAAACTAAAGGGCAGGTGGCTCCACAAGGCAATACCCAGATAACTAGGTCTGCTAGAGCCATTCTGCAGGTAGGATCTGAGAAGAAGTCACAGAACCTGTGGGCCAAAATGCTCATGAAGGCTCCTTGCAGACCAGTGAAAATCTGCAGATAACATACTTGTTAACACATCTATGTAAACATAGATAACATACATAATCTAACTGGAACCTAGAACACAGAAACCCCACCATGAACAAAACCCCAGTTGACTCAAGCACAAAGATAATGGTAGCCCTTTAAATGAAAGACTGTATCACCATCTGCTATATAACAAACCTTGTCCTTTGGCTTCTGTCTCACTGGCCGCAGCCCTCCCAGGAAGTCTGATGTCTCCATATGTAAGTGGCAGTTGACTGAGTATAATTTCTGATTTGTTAAAGCTGCAAACACCTGACAGATAGTCGTTTTCCCACACCTGTTACAGAGACACACCATTTTAACAAGGGAAAGGAACTCCAAATATACACTCATGAATACTCACTCCAGTCAGCAAAAGAACAGAGCCATAGTGCAAGCCTCACTGCAGCAACAGACAGTTCTGGCCAATGCTAGTCGCCAGCATCCTAGCCCCTGGGCTGCACCCCAGTCTCTGGGCACCCCTCCTCGAAACACCAGCACCCAACATGTTCTTTATCAAGAATGGCAAACACTCCACTAATTCCACCCTTCCTCCTTCTACTGATAACCACCAACGGATGGGAAAGGAACTCAGTCCTTAGAGATTTTCAAGAGATTACTAGCTCAATGTCTCTTCTCCACACACCTAAGGATGAATCTCACTCTCTGAAAGAACTAAGCAGGAAAAACACTCTCAATGAAAATTATGCAAAAAAAATCATTCTTCTCCAAAAAGAGAAATCTAGTCTAAAGGTGGAGGAAAGTAAGCAATGATAGATATTTCTTTAGAAATGAAAATTAAAAAAAAAAAAAAAAAAGGGGAGGGGGAGAAATGACAAAGAATGAATCCTTCAAAGATAAAACTCAAGTGTAATCCTCCGTTATGGAAATTGAATCCCATAGTAAGTTGTCACAGAACTTTACCCCGTGTCTCCAACCAACAGTACTGGTTCACCAAATTCCAATGCCCTTCCCATCAGCACAGCCAGTCTCCTCATGCCTTTGGTCCAAACAATGTGGCTGAACTTGGACTCCAGTGTGGATATCTGAGTAGACAATTTACCTACCCAAGACAAAAGAAATATCAGAATTCTAGCATCAGTGCTACTCAACTCTTTCTCTGCTGGGCTTTAAGGCCAACTCACCTAGCATATTTAGGACATTTTCTTTGGAGAAAAGAGATTGAGGACACAATTTTTTCTTAAAATGTTTTTCAAGGACTTCTTGAATCACATCAACCTCCTCCTGCTTCCTGACTCGGCCTGCGAGAAGCATAAAACCTTAAAAACAAAAAAAAAAAAAAATCAAAAGTGTCCAGTGGCAAAACAAGGGTTGGTAAGAATATGGAGCAATAGCAACTGTCTAAATTGCTGATGAAAGTAGAAACCTGAACAGCTACTTTGGAAAACTGTGAGAAGCTGTTAAAATTAACCATAAGCCTGCCCTATGACCCAGCAATAACACTTCAGTGTGTCCAAACACAAATGAGAAAACGTGTGCAACAAAAGATATGTACAAGAATGTACAAATCACTTTCATTTCTAATAAGTAAAGACTAAACACAATGCAAATGTCCATCAACAAGTGCCTGGATTTAAAAAAAAAAAATGTGGTACTTCCATACAACGTGTTTCAATACAACAATAAAAAAGAATGAAGTACTGGTATATTAACTGGTATGTATTAAACAGCATATGTAAATCTCACATTATGTTGAATGAAAGAAGCCAGACCCAAAAGAGTACAGACTATGTGATTTCATTAGGTGAAGCTCAGGCACAGACAAAATTAATCAAGGTGATAGAGGCAGAGCAGTGGTTATCGCTAAGGGTGGTAACCGACAGCAAAAGGCATGAAGGAATCTTCTGAGGTGCTGGAAATACTCTAAATCTTGGTCTAGATGGTGATTTACTTGGGCACATACATATGTAAAATCCACCAGGCTGTACACAAAATGTTAGTGCACGTCATCCATTTTATAGTGTGTTATACACACCTCCATAAAAAGCTTTTAAAAACTGTGTTCTTCCCTCTATCTATTCTTTATTAAAACTCTCATGGGCTAGTTTTATTTACTCTCCTTATTTATTAACTACCCTGTTATTAACTCATCAGCATTCTCCTGTCAGAAGACAATGCTTTCTATCACTGAGAGAAACACATCAATTCTTTTTATGGATTAAACCAAAACTACCAAACTCGAGTCTCAGACAATGAAAGTGCCTTCTCTCGGGATTCTGATATTATCTGACATCAGCTTCCCATAGGTGCCTAAGGCACAAGCACAAGTACCTGTGGTCACCACACTGGTCAGCTGCAGAGAAATGGTCCACAAGCTACCACCAACCACCAGCCTGAATTCCCAAAGGGGTTGTGCCCATATCCTGACTCCTACGTGTGGCCACCTGAAGCAAAGAGTGAGGAAACCTTAGCTACCAATCTATACTAGCAGAGGCCTACAGAAACAGGACCATTTACAATAGCAGATGGGATTTGAGAGAGAAAAGCTGTTTCTGGACGACCTCGTAAAACGTGCTTATCGATCACAATTTGGGGCAAGACTTATTTTAGCAAAATGTTTGACATCTGACATAACTTTATAGTTTGGGAGCATCTGATTGAAAACATACCATCATTGGCTAAATGCTGTAGCCAGTCATATTCCTTCTCAGTCTGTTCAACCAATCTATACCTTTCAGCCCACCGGAACAGATCACGAAGAGTGATGAAGCCCTGCTTCCCAGCAAACACAGAAGAACCTCTGCGATAAGACTATTAGGACATCAAAACCAATGAAAAAGGGCATTAGATGTATTAAACAGCACACATGTAGAACTTACATAAAATTCTTAACAATCTTTAACACGTGAATTTCATTTTTTTCCCCAGATGACTGCATTCCATTTACATTTCTTGTTTTTAAATTAGTCTTATTTAGTAAAATGACATCATTTTAATGGGAGCTTAAAGTGATGTCATTCTACTAAGACTGATTTAAAAACAAGAACTGTAAATGGTATGCAACCATCCAAAAAAAAATGTTCAAATTCATGTGAAAATAAAGAATACAACTGAACAATGGAACTCCATACGTCATTAAGTCGTATTAAAAACAAAAAACCATTGCCACTGAGTCTATTACAACTCATAGTGACCCTATAGGATGAAGGAGACCTGTTCCATAGGGTTTCCAGGGCTGTAAATCTTTACAGAAGCAGACTGGCTCCTTTTTCTCCCACAGAGCAGCCGGTAGGTTTGAACTGCCAACCTTCTGGTTAGCAGCTGAATGCTTTAACACTAAGTCATACAGATAAAGTATGTATAAGCAACAGTACAAATGGTGGCCAAGAAAGAGGAAAATCTGTACCATACTATAGTACCATAATGATAAAATATATCAATTATTATCACCATCCTAAAAAGTAATTTGACCATCCATACTTTCTGATTAAACTTTTAGGCTCATAAAATAAAACAATTATACCTTTGCAGTTGACAAAGGAAAGAGTCACAAAGAATCTCTTCAATTCTGTCCACCCAAGGACTACATCATCATATACGAAAGTAAGAACTATCAGATATATGAACATCAAAAATTTTTAAGATGGTATTAAAATACATACAAAAGAAGACAAAGTGAATATTAATGGAATGCATTTAAAAACAAGATCCTTACTCTGGACACAAAAGACAAAGAATGGACATCTGTTTCTGCCCAAAAAAGTTATCAAATTTGATCATCAAATCTAATTAACACATTCCATTTAAAACTCAATTAAGTGGTAAGAAGATGAAATACCTGAAGGTCCAGCATTACTTTAACCAACTTGCTACAATAGGAGGGTGGTAAACTACACCGTTTGTGCAAGATTGTTTCCAACTCAGAACTAGGCAATTCATCAAAATGCAATTCCACAAACCGGTTCCTGAAGGCTCTAGAAAGCACCTAGGAAATGCACACACAAAAAAAATATGGTAAAAAGGACCTTTCCATCTAATTTCCAAATGGACACCCTGCCATTCTCAACAAAAAGAAAAACCCTCCCTGAGTGAAATAAGTCAATCACAGAAGGACAAATATTATATGAACCCATTACATAAAAAGTCAAGGAAAGGTTTAGTCAGGGAAGGAAATTCACTTTGTTGGTTACTGGGAATGGGAGGGAAGGGGAAGGAAAATTTCAGACTAGTTGGGGGTCTTATGTTGATGTGGGCAAGGGGAGGGGTGGTATGGAAAGAGTCTGTGACCAACACGGTGACAATGGGAAAAGAGAGGACACAGAAACATACACAAAAGATATAGACAACAGAAGCAAATACTATTACATGCACAATACTACATTACCGGTGGCAACAAACACTAGGCTATGGGTAAATGCATAGACAGGTGAGATCAGGTGGGGGTAGGAATATACTTAAGACCAAGCATAGATCTGATTGAAGACAATCTTACATATATATATACTTGTGCAACACAATTATCCATATACATTACAGAAGTAACAGAGGACAAGTTTGGAGCAGCTTTTCAGAAACAACCAAACACCTTGATGGAGAGAATCACTGGGCCTGCAGGCTCGGGTGCACCATGCTCAGTTGGCACAACATAGAACATAAAAACCTTGTGTGACAGCCTACTTTGGTGGGTAACAACTGGGGTCTTAAAAGCTTTTGAGTGGCCATCTAAAATAAAACTATTGGTCTCCTCTCACCTGGAGCAAAGAAGAGTGAAGAAAATCAAAGTCATTGGGAAACAATTAGTCCAAACATATGATGGACCAACAGGACCTTAGCCTTCACGATCTTGAGACCAGAAGAACTAGACAGTGCCCAGCTACCAATGCCAACCATTAAGAAAGTCATCAAAATTGAAGATCCAGGATAAAGTGGGAGGAAGAATGTGGAACAAAACTCAAAAACCAAAAAACAACCAGAATTAATGAGCGAATTTGTGGAACCCCTAAGACTAAGGTTCTGGGTTATCCTTTGGGCCTGGAAATGGACTCAATTCCATGGATCAGCTCTCACCTCAACAAAAGAAAGACCTACAAGCAGAATACCTAACCTAGGGAGATGCACCCACCTACCCAAGAAAGATGCATCCCTTAGATCAATCAGCCATGAGACATCAGAGTGGCAGCATTCATGTAGAGTGAAAGCTGGACAGACAGGAAGGCACAGATAAAAAGGGCAAAGGGAAGGGGCAGTCACAAGGAAGAGAGGGGAGGAGAGTTTTTTATGGTTGGCAATTATAATCGGGGCCATGAAATCAAATGTGCATGAACTGTTGATAGTAAAACGAATCTGCTTTGTAAATCTGCATCCATATCACAATTAAAAAAAAAAAAAAACCTGCAACAGATATAAAAAGTCTCACTCTCGACAAAATTTACCTCCTGAAGTAATAAATGGAAGAAGGGGGTAAACGTTACACACCTTTCTACCCCCATAAAGTCCTGGGGGATTTTGAGTAGCAAAAAGCATGAATCGCGGATGTGCTTTAACAACTTCTTGTGTTTCTGTTATAAGCAATTCACGGTTATCATCTAAGAGTCGATTCAGTGCCTCTAACACATCAGTAGGGGCCAAGTTTAATTCATCTAAAATAATCCAATAGCCCTTTCTCATAGCATCAATAAGAATACCTTGAGGGGAAAAAACAAAAACTGAGAATTAGTGCATAAATCAATCCAAAGCTTTTAAAAACATTTTATGCACATCAACAAATTCTCGATTATCATTAAATTTCAAAGCAAATTACTCTGCAGCTAGTCCTCCCTCACAATAAATTATGACCTTGCATGTCAAGAAAGCACAATTTTCAATGTAAACAGTCCTTTCATTTCCCACTGAAGAGAAACCAAGGATGATAAATACCGTATTTCCAGTTTAATATCATTAAATCACTACTTCTTATACCTATCCCCAGCCTTCCCCTATCCAATACTCACCCCATTCCTTGAAGTCTCTCAGAAATGGTGCAGCAGTTCAACTATACTCTTCAAAACATGGGCTACAATGCCATGAACAGCTGACAAGATTAATAGGACCAAAAGGAAGCTGAGCCCTCAGCCATCACCCCTTAACTCTCAGGTAGTTCAGGGGCAAAGAAAAATCAGCCGTTATGGCAGAAGTCTAGGTGCTTCAGTTGGAAAGGCTGAAGAATACTACTTGGGGAAATGGGTCTACAAGAATGAACACCTAAACTCATAGAAGGGACAATTAACCCACCTTCTTTAAACACAAGCTTCCCTGAGCCATCAGATGTATAGCAACCAATATACTCCTGAATATCCGTGTGTTCATGGTTGTTGATACGCACACAGTAATTCCCAGTAGCTGCAGCCAACCACCGAATGAGGCTTGTCTTACCAACTGATGTCTCTCCCTGAATCAGCACTGAGTAGATTCTTTAAAAGATCAGCCAATAAAGCAATGGGAAAAAAAATAGAAGGAAGGAAAAGAAACTAGAATTAATTTCAGCAGTGATTTTTAAAAGATAAGCAAATCATTTAACATCATCATAAAAAAAACATTTTTATATATACCTATACACTACTACTGGGAGCTCTGGTAGCATAGTGGCTAAGACACTTGCCTGCTAACCAGACAGCTGGCGGTTCAAACCCACCAGCCACTCCTTGGAAGGAAGGTTGGGCAATCCTACTTCCGTAGTGATACTGCCTCGGAAACCCAAGGAGGGGTCGCTATGAGTCGGGTTTGACTCGACGGCACATAACAACAACAAAACAACAACATACACTACTATTGGAATGTTTCTGAAGCCCTGAAAAATTTCGATCTAAAAATAAATCCTTGGGCAAACACCAAGAAAGGCAATTCTAGCATCTCTCACACTACTTGTGAGAAACAGTAAGTGACACTGAGCGTTACTCATTTATCAAGTAACAGGTAGCAAGTGTTCAGCAACACAATATTAAAAAGCAGCTACAAAGATGGATGGGCAATGTCAGTACTGTTTCCACTGAAGATACAACTAGAAATAGTTCTTCATCCCAGAAGAAAAGTCACAATACTGAGTTTAGAAAGGAATTATTCAATTAGCAAGTGAGTAGCAAGAAAGCAGTTTAAATGGTAAGGAAGTTTGGCATGTCATCAATGGGTATGATGGCAGAAACACAGAGCAGCAAATAATAAAGGCCACAAACCCTGCAGAGACCACTCGGACTGTATCTCTCAGGTTCAGCTTGACGGAAGATGTGAGAATATATGTCTCATCTATTGTAGGTTCCTTATCTCCCACCGATATCCAGTAACCTTCGACCTGGATAAGCCGGCCTCCTTTTGGTTCTGGAATAGGCTGAAAGACAAAACAGATATAACCTACAGTTCACAACAACTATGACATTCTTTCAGAGAGGGGTATAAAGTAGAAAAAGAAGTTGCCACCAATAATGCTACCTTGTTCAGGGTGCATTTAAAACCATGGGCAATGTAGTTTTAAAAATTATTTTGAATATGAAAACAAAATGCTAACATGTACTAGTTT